CCAGATGTGGAGGATCATGCACCTTCCCTGTTGGACCTTCTGCTGACCTCTCACCCGGACGGATATCAGATTTCCGTCGACGCCCCTTTAGGCTCCTCGGACCATTGTCTGGTCCGGAGTGTGGTGCCACTCACCCTGAAATCGCGGTTGCATTCTGCAGGCTGCCGCCGTGTTTGGCACTATAGGTCAGCCGATTGGGATGGGATGCGGTCTTTTTTTGCATCCTACCCTTGGGGGCGGGTTTGCTTCTCGCCGGATGATCCCAACGTTGTTGCGGATTCTGTTGCTGATGTGGTACTTCAGGGTATGGAACTTTTTATTCCTTCCTCTGTGGTGCCCATTGGAGGCAAGTCTCAGCCATGGTTTGGTCGCTCCTGTAAAATAGCGTCATGCTATAAGCAGGAGTGCTACTAAGCCTGGGCTGATGCATCAGCGTCCCGGGATGTAAACACCAGCGCTCTAAAAAAGAAGTATAATTCCGCCTCTAGGTCCTTCAAAAGAGTCATTGCCAAGGCAAAGTCAGAGCACATAGGCAGAATTGGCGAGAAACTAGTTCGCCTTCCTTCTGGAACCCGTGCATTCTGGTCTCTCGCCAAGGCTGTCCAGGGGAATTTCTGTCAGCCATCTCTTCCATCTCTGCACAGGGAGGACGACTCACTGGCCCATACCGCAAAGGAGAAAGCCGATCTTCTAGGCTCTTTGCGCGACTAAGCTCTTGACCTCGATGACGAGGGGAGTACTCCGCCGACCATCCCGCGGTGTGAGTGCTCCATGCCGGAAGTGCACTTCACACAGCGCTCGGTTCGCAAAGCACTCCTCTCCCTGGACATCCACAAGTCGAGTGGGCCTGACGGAATCCCCCCAATTGTGCTGAGGACGTGTGCTCCAGAGTTGGCACCGGTTTTAACGCGTCTTTTCCGGTACTCCTACTCCCTAGGCGTAGTCCCAAAATCATGGAAGACGGCTTACGTCCACCCGATCCCTAAAAAAGGCGACCGCTCTGACCCGTCCAACTACCGGCCAATCGCCATCACCTCCTTGTTCTCCAAAACAATGGAGTCCATTGTAAACTGCCAGCTCATGAGGTACCTTGAAGATCACCAGCTGATTAGTGACCGCCAATACGGTTTTCGCCGTGGTCGGTCAGCTGGTGATCTTCTGGTCTACCTAACTCACAGATGGGCGGAGGCAGTAGAGTTCAAGGGGGAGGCATTGGCCGTTAGTTTGGACATTGCGAAGGCCTTCGATCGGGTTTGGCACAAAGCGCTTCTTTCGAAGCTCCCTTCCTATGGGCTTCCCGAGAAATTGTGCGATTGGATCACCAGCTTTCTTGCAGATCGGAGCATCAAGGTCGTTGTAGACGGTGCAAGCTCCGATTGCAAGCCTATTAATGCTGGTGTTCCACAGGGCTGCGTGCTATCGCCAACGCTGTTTCTTCTGCATATCAATGACATGTTGCATACCCGTAACATTCATTGCTATGCAGATGACAGCACTGGTGATGCTCTTTACACCGGCCGAGCCAATATTTCTCGGGAAAACGTCTCCGAGTGCCGGGACAAACTTGTGTCTGAAGTCGAGTCTCTGCTGGACAGAGTCTTGGATTGGGGGCGACTAAATCTAGTCCAGTTTAACCCAGAAGACACAAGTTTGCGCGTTAACCGCTAAAAGGAACCCCTTTGTCGTATCCCCTCAGTTTCAAGGCACTCCCCTTGTTGCCTCAGCCAGTATCGGAATCCTCGGCGTCGACATATTGAGTGACGTGCAGTTTCGTGGTCACTTGGAAGGGAAGGCCAAATTGGCCTCTAAAAAGCTTGGCGTGCTCAGCAGATCGGGACAGTATTTCATGCCGGCACACCGCCTGCAACTTTACAAGGCGCAGGTTCGGCCGCACATGGAATACTGTTCCCATCTCTGGGCTGGGGCTCCCCAGTACCAGCTTCTTCCACTTGACCGCATCCAGCGCAGAGCGGCTCGAATCGTCGACGACCGAGTGCTTTCCGATCGGCTCGATTCACTGGCGCTGCGAAGAAATGTTGCATCTCTTTGCGTATTTTATCGCATCTATCACGGGGAGTGCTCTGAGGAATTGTTCGGATTAATCCCAGCCGCCAAATTTCGTGAACGCACTACACGTCGAACGTCCCGATACCATCCACACCATCTGGATGCTTGGCGGTCCACCACTGTACGTTTCACAAGGAGTTTTCTTCCACGTACAACCTCTCTGTGGAATACTTTACCACCGGCGATTTTTCCGGACCGATACGACCTGGGGACCTTCAAGAAAAGAGCTTACTCCTTTCTAAAGGGCCGGCAACGCACCCGCAATTCTCCTGGTGTTGCGGTTGATCATGGGCGGCGGTAGTCACTTAACATCAGGTGAGCCGCATGCTCGTTTGCCCCTTCTTCTATAAAAAAAAAAGATTTATTTTTAGAAAATGTCTTTTTGTCCGTGTTTTCAGGCAATGAAAAACTGCTACATTATAAGAAGGTGAATTTTGACACTGTGTTAATCATCGTAATAGCTCAAGTGGATATAAAGCGGTCGCGAAATCGAAATGCCTTGGTTCGCATCCCGCTTCGGTCCGACGTTTTTCCTTTTTTTCAAGTTTCGTTGTTTTGTGAGAAAATCTATTATTTTGAGCCCTTTTTTGTATTATTTAAAAATACGAAAATTTTAATTAAAGTAATTGCACTCATGATTTTTTATTCATATAACCAGTTCAGTTTTTTCTATTATGTCAATAAGATTAAAAATATTATTCGTGTAATTTGTATCTAAATGTAATTGAAAAAAAAACCGGTCATCCGGGTACCTACTAATCTCTTAAAAGTGTAAAGTAGATAAATATATCCCACTGCTAGGTCAACGGCTCCTATCATTTTTGAGTTGATTTTGGTGTATGGAGGAGTCTGTGCTGCCCTGGCGTATTCGCAGACTTCACATATCCTCGAAATTTCGGCAATTTGGACATGCATGTTACCGTACTTTTCCTGTACTGTCACGCATTTACTAAATTAACATCTAATCGCAATTAACTTATAGGGTTAATAAATATAATATTAACTCTCTCAGACATGAGAGGATGCCATTGACCAGTAATTGAACGTAAATAGGCTGTAAATTTTTATTTTTTGCAATATAATAGACGTCGGTTTGCTCGCGAAACTTTACCACGAGCACAACATGCACCAAGCCAACACGGTTATGTGAACTGTTTCGATATTTACATTTTAAATACTCTTTTGGTTTAATAGACCAGTGAAAGTAAAGTAATAGTAAAATTGCAGCCTATGTACGACTTCGGTCGAAGACAAAACGATAGGTTCGCCGATTAGTTGATCGCATCCGTACGGCGATCATTGTAGGCCCAACGCCCACGTCGACATGTTTAAGTTTCCGGCGGCATCCGCTCGCTTGATTTCATCTCCGATGGCAATCAAACGGCGCACAAGACGACCGAACGGCGTTAGATAACAGTGGAATGATGAACGATGAGTCGACTGCCGAACAAATGTAAATAGCCGTCACGATAACCGTTTGGATTCGACTGTCGAACATACGAGAATAGCGGTCGCGACGGCCTTTCGAAGCAGTGGACTGCCGATCGCTTGTGAACAGCCGTCGCAACAGCTAAGATAGTCGGCGTTAAGCCGTGTAGTTGTCATATCAGAAATGAGGGGGAGGCCTGCTGGGCACAGACATCGTTGCGTGCAGCATAAAAATGCTGATATTATGTGGGGGTTAGCTGCGCCCTGGTCTGGAAGACCCGTTCGTGTTGCAGTACAAAATGCCCTAAACAGAGCAAAATCTTTGGTGTTAAGCGCCTTGTTAGTAAGCAATGGTAATTTTATGAACCAGAAAATCTGATGATGCATTTGTGGTGATTGATTTCTGCTGACTGGTGATTCATAGGTGGGCCGAATGCTCGTTTGCAAGCTCCCCTCTACATTTGTTGTTGATATTTAATTTGGCAACGCTTTGCATTATAAAATTTTATGTCTATCGTTTTCCTTACTTCCTGTACCGTCACCGCCTTAGTCGTAGTATTACGAGTTAATAAAGGCATTTAATGAAGAGTTTTCTTTTACCGAGCTCTTTCTCCCCGCTGTTTGAATTGCCGGTGTTACTACCCTGGGGATTAATGTTACCATTTTTAAAATGTTTCGTTCCGAAATACCGAATAGTGGATAGTTGTTTTATAATATCTTTTTGTTGAGGAGTTTTTAGAAAAAAGTAAGCAGAATACTATATGCATTTAAAATATGCAGTTTTGATTTTTTATATTTATTTTTAAATAATTGAATGACAAGAAAGCTAAATAGTCAACGTGATGTATAAGCGGATAGACACTGCAATGCAGCAGCAAATGACATCACTGCTACTTTGTGGTAGATATAAGTTTCTCCTAGTTTTGCTGTTGTTCATATGTTGCACCAGTCACTTACCATCAGGTAACTAAGCCGTATACGTTTTCCCCTTCAACTATTAAAAAAACATAGATAGTATTACCAGATATATTTTTAAATTTTGGGCGCCGAAAAGCAAGAAAAGGTGTTTAAATTTATGTATTTCGATTACGAAGGCGAATTACTTTATATTATGAGTCCTGGTTACACGAAAAATTAAAAAATAATAATAATCATATTTCTATAATATATATTCATGCCACTTTTATATTTAAATTATTAAATGTATATATATTATATAAATTTTATTTATATTATATAAATCTATATTAAATATTAGATCGTTTTGACAATATTACGTCTAAGATATATTACCCACAAACTGATTTAAGTATTGATGAATCGATGGATTTATGGAGAGGAAGACTGGTTTTTCGTCAATATATAAAAAATAAAAAAACATAAATATGGCGTGAAACTGTATGAACTTTGCGAATCATCAGGAATAGTTATGAAGATACGTGTTTATAGAGGAAAGAGTGAGAAGCCGCCACCGGAAACATATTACCGAAGTTGTATTAGATCTAATGGAAGGGTATTTAGACAAAGGCCATGTTATCTACGCTGACAATTTTTATAACTCACCGGATCTAACAAGGCGTCTTAGTCAAAGGAAAACGTGCATATGTAGTACTCTTCGAAAGATCCGCAAGAACCTTCCTCTAGACGTAGCCAACGCTAAGTTGAAGCTTGGCGAAATGGCTGCAAAAGTATGCAATGACATTACTGTTTGTAAGTAGAAAGACAAACGCGACGTCTTAGTGATTTCCAACAAACATAAATTGCAATTCGTGACAGTAAGAAAAGGAACGGGAAATTGTCGTTGAAGCCTACTATCGTTGATTACTACAACCTGGGGATGTCTGGTGTGGACAGAGGAGACCAGATGGTTTCATATTACTCGTGCCTTCGAAAAACTCTTAGATGGCGTAAGAAATTGGCATTACACATTTTTGAAGTTTAAGTCCAAAATGCCCATCTATTACTTCGCGTCAATGATCATACTTCGAAAATGCTTCTGATAAAGTTTCGTGAAGATTTCGTAAAATATCTCATGGGACTAAGTTTGATTCCAGCAGCAGTGTCATCCGGGGCATCATGCGCAGCATCTGTACAACCACAGGATGCCCAAGACAAACTTCAACTTATACCTTCGTCGTCGTTACAAGGGCCCTCTGAACCACCTCGATCGCCTGCTAATGTTGCGAGTCGCTTATCGACAAACGAAGGTGCACGAGTTCCATTGCAAAGCTTTCATTACTTAGAAAAACTACCACCCACCGCTAAGAAAGCCGTTCCAGCCAAACCTTGCCGCGTTTGCACAAAAAACAAGAAGCAAAAGGAATCATCGTTTGTGTGTGCTACTTGCCCTGAAAAGCCTGCCTTATGTGTAAATAATTGCTTTAAAATTTTCTATACTGATCCTCGTATTGCATAGCTTATTTTAATTTTTTTTGTTACAATTCATTTTTCATTTCATTAGAAATACGTTTTCTAAATTTATTTTAAAATAAATAATTACTACTTTTGTTATAAAAAGTAAACTTAATATGAAGTATCTCATTAGAAAACTAATATTTTTCACTAAAATTGCCTGAGAAAGCATGTCATTTGTGAAATATAAAAGAAATAAAGTTAATATTTTTTTGTCTCTTATTTTATTTAAGGGGCCAAAGAACATAAAAATATGCAATACAGGGTGCCAATTAATATTATTTATCATTTATGGGCTTTGGAAGATCTACGTAATATTTCGTAGTTGGCTTCCACCATTGTTTCAACCTACGCAATATTGCATATTTGGCACTCAATGTGTTAAACCTTAATTTCTTGCAATATGGTTTTCATTATTGTACCTAAAAGGAGACTATTTTATAATTAATTAATTATTGGATTCACAACCAAAATATTATTGAGCACATATTTGTATTTAACATTGCAAAAATAATTTAGAACCATTTATTATTTTCACATGCAAATTCCATGCTGCGTGCATGCATGTTAATTTTAATGTTTGTTTTATGTTGCTCTGTTACTGTCGATATGGCTTAGTACCCACTAACACGAAATAATTGCCACGAATGATTTATTACCAACTTCCATGTTTTGTCATGCCATGAAAACATAAAATTTTTAATATTTTCCCAATTGCTACGAATAAATATACCAATTGCTCCGAAACATATTACTTATGTTAATTAAAGGCATTGAGTACTACTACGTACTAGAGAAGCTATTCCAAACAAAAAATGTGCACTACTCTGTATCCGCACATGCGCGGGAGACAGTAGAGTCGCGCATGCGCAGTTGATATAAACGCGCGAAAATTGTCATAATAAATAATTGTTTATTTAGATAATACTGTTAATCGAGTACATTTTTTATTTATGTGCTAATTTAATATAAAATTATTATTAGCGCCGCTCCGCATTGCATGAATATCGAAGCCACAATAACAGGTGTACGTATTTACAGTACAGTTCAGTTGAACATAGTGAGTGTTCGGAATGCCATATCTAGTGCGTAGCACATATATATCGATGATTAAAGGTAAATATAATATTGTACAATCACCCAAAAAATAGATATTTAATTTTTTTGTGTTTTGTGGGTTAGGATTAATATGTTCATTAGTTATTAACTGTTGTTACAAATATTCGTGTGAAAAGTACAGAGCGATTTTATAATGGTGGCACAGAGTCGAAACCAACCACGTTACGGACCGACGCCTGACTGGCGAAAGAGAGCCATCCAAGGGCCCAAGGCATATATTCAGTAATCTATGGACCCAAGTGAGCGATCGCTTTTATAGCTGATGGTAGGGATCGACGCTGTGTACCGAAAGAAAATATTTGTGTATAAATCTACGGGGATGACATAGTCACTGTGCGATAAAACTCATTCCTCGAGAATAAAGATTAAAAAAAAAACATCATGATATTGTTACGAGCTTGAGGTTCGTGACAATAAAAATTGCCGATAGGAATACCTAAATTAACACTTTAATTTTCACAAATTAAAACTTAAAACACCAATAATTAAGCACACTAATTCACTTTATTCCACTCCGAAGCTTCGCTTGTCTCGCCAAATTCAATACTTCCCCGATCGCACCTTGCAGCGCCTATAAATACACATTAGTACCGAATCATCCAGAACATTCAAGTAAATACACGCACCAATCGACAAAGCGCCGAAAGTTCGAGAGTCAGCTTCCAGAAGCTTAGTTCTTCGTTTCGACAACAGATGGTGCTGTCGGTTGAAAGATTAGTGATGTCATTTTCTGGAAAGCTCTCCCCTCGCTCCGTTACCCGACACTAGATGGCGCTAGTGCCAGATGTCAACTTAGCCGCGCAACAATATGTTTATGTCCTGAAACTATTACTTTTAAACTGACATCGTTCTACGACGGACAGCGTTATGTAAGTTTATAACATACGCAACATTTCCCAAATATTTACAAATGCAAGTCGTCACACACCAAATCGACAACAACCGACTAAAAAAATTAGTTAGACGCCACGATTGTAACACCTTGCGATGTGCATCAAGAATAACAGTTGTCACATATTTAATAAAAATGTTTTCATAAGGACGATAGGGTAAATATTACGCCACTATATAGCTTATATAGTGCTAGATCATATTGAGCATTATGTTACACTTTTATAGCAGTATTTTGCCCTTTAACCGAGTCCTGTAAGATTATCTACGACGTCATGAGCATGAGTCGGCCGGTTGGACCGGCTCTCACAGAAACTCTCACTGACAATTTATACGTTGTAGAGCCACGCTGCAGCTATATTATGGTTGTAGCACGAATGGGTCGGCTCGACCGGGGAAGGACCACGCTCTCACAGAATACCAGCGTAAAATAGCAGTCTAATACTGCTGTGTATTTTGTGGTGAGTGTAGAGATTCAAAGACCCTTTTTTACTGGAAACGAGGTATTCGATCTTAGTCTTCAGGGGTGACAACACATCTGCGTTTTGAATTTTACTCGAGGATTATTGTAGATGTCTATGGGCCACAGTGCCCACTTACCATCAGGTGTACTGTGTGTTCGTTTGTCACTTTTATTCTATTAAGAAACCAGCGTAAAATAGCAGCTTATCTTAGACTTCAGGAGTCACATGTGATCGAGAATCAAACGTGGCAAATCAGATGTGTCACAACTGCATTTTGATTCTAATCAAGGATAAATATAGATTGCTATTGGCCACAGCATCCTCGTACCATAAGGTGGAATGTGTGCTCATTTGTTACCCATATTTTATAAAAAAAAAGTCAACATTTAAAATTTCATTTAAAAATTTCTGTAGTGCCGCCACCGACGCCTTTTTAAAATATACATAAGAATCACTAATAATAAACTACACAATAATTACTTATTTGTTCATAAAATATTATCATTGCATCGTCCAATAAATTATGAGAAACGTAAAAAGAACAGCAAATAACAAAAATCATTCCCAGTTAAAACAAAAAAAAGCAAAAACGATCTCAACGAAGCAATACTGTCACGCAATTTAAAATTCAATGAATAGAGCGAATACGTTTCAAATTTGCATAACAGAAAAAAGCCATGAATCTTACTCAGCTCAGAATAAATAACCGTAGTGTATTAAGATTCAAAATTACAGTCTATCTGCTTAAAGGCGCTCCCTCGATCTGCCTAAATAAATAAGAGTCCCTTCTATCAGATCTTAAAATGCTTCGTAGAGTTGTTAACATAACAGGGGATTCGCAATTTATTTTTCAAGTAGAGAAAAATGGAGTTGTTGTATGGTGGGAGCGTAGGAAAATCCATTACTCCATTTCTTTCCTGGGTGTCTGAAGAGGGGACTATGGGATATATCAGAAAGGTGTCATGACTTTTTTCCTTTTCTTTTTATCTTCGCGCTATGAAAATCAATGATTTTCAAAATATCAGTAAGTTATTTGTTTCATCCCGGTTTTTGAAAATTGAATTCTCATCAGATCTTCACATCCTAGAAAGCTATTCTGACTATTCATGTGAGGATGTCCCTTCGTATGTGTGCGCATGCCTGTGCGTGTGTGTACGCATGCGTGTGCGTGTTCATATGCGTATGCGTGTATGTATGCGTGTGCGTGTGCGGTGCGTGTGCGTGTATTTGAGCTTGTGCGTGAGCGTGTGTCTGTGTGTGTGTGTGTGTGTGTGTGTTGTTTTTTCGTGTTAATAGGAAGATGCTTCTGCCAACCTCATGTTTGCTTTCTCTGTCGCTTCGTACGACACCCACGGGATGAAAGGAGGTGATGGATTTTCTAACGCTGCCACTACATGGCGTACTTGCCGTGCATGTAATAGCTGGTGACTAATGGGATATTGGGTTTATGGGTATGTAGACGATGCTCTAGATCCTTATCACTTTTTCCATGATATTCTCTATAAAATATGGGTTATATTTTCTGCTAAACGTGTTCCAAGCTGATCGTTGGATTTTTTATTTTCGGATTTTTTTTTACACTCAGTGAACGAAATACAGTTATGAATACATTTACAAAAAATATACCTTTTAGAAACTATGAGTACGTATATAGCGTCGGTTACGTCGGTAGCGTCGGTAACGGTTATTTGTATCTCGATAAACGATTTTTTGGTTAAGACGCCGCGGCTTCCTGCATCCGGGTCGTCACTCCATATAGTAGCGAACTGACCAACACTCCACTTATCGGTACGAGGCTATTAGTCAAAAACATCTCTTTCCTATTTGTTGTCGAGTCTTCGGCCGGTCAATTGCCGTTTCGATCTACTGATTTGCTGGGCTATGCCAGTTAACTTTGTTCATCTGCGGGTATCCTCGTTATGGATTGTAATATGCAGGGCAACTTCTTCAGGATGTACTACAACAGTAAGAAATTACAAGAATGCAATGTTAATAAGCTTGGAACTTTTTGATGGACTTTAACAGTATTGGAAAGATCAGCCCACATTCTGCTTACCCGTACGAGAATGTCTCTCGAGAACCATTCTTCCCCATTGGTAGTGGGTTCTTCGTCGGCAAACTCTTATTCATCAGCGGATATCTTCCCTACATTACGAGAAACATTTTCAGGAATTACCATAATAGCAAACTTCAAGGCTATAATATAAATAACATTTGAACTCTTGGATAGCCCATAGTTATTTGTTATGTTCTCTTATGTTCTTACGCGAATACTACACATGCGTTAATCCTGGAATTCGGGAAGTCTGCAATATGTCAACATGTTCAAAATCGTCCCAACCATTATATCAGATTTGATAGACCACAAATCCTCACAAAAGAACACAAATTGCTACCAAGGATGATTCGCGAGGCTATTGAAATTAGACCATTAGTGCTACCATCTGCTTGGGATCCCATAATCAAAAAAATTGAATCCAAGCGTACTACAACAACATTTCAATATACTGTAAGCTCGTTCTGCGTGGATTGAACCAAAAATTGATATTTAAAAGCTGAAGATAGCCTTTGTTCACTATAACATCTAGACGTCAAACACTTCAATACCTTCCTGACTTTCTAGCATCCATGGTGCTGGAAAGTGCCCAAAACGTCGGGATTAAAAAAGTTAAAATCAAATGAGACAAAATCCGTAAAATAAGTTTTATTCCATATTTGATAGCCCTCTACAATATTATGTATTGACATCGTCAGCAGTTGCATATTAGAGTTCTCAAAGTTACATTTTAATAACTTGACGTATGAACGTCTTCCGTACGGAGTAGAACGAAATAATGTTCTACATTCTACAAAAGCTTCAATAAAAAGAAAATGTCGAGCGAAAATATTCACTTCCGTGAAAAGTGTTTATAATATTTCCACTCAATATTGAGACACAATTTGTTAGAAAGGCGATGAGCAAACCCGATTGACAATTTAGGCAACAAGGCGGCACGTCAGCGCCGTCGTCAAATCGTCCATTTTCCGTTGGCACATGACACGTGGGGCTGTTAAAGCGCTTATCGATGAGTGCGGTTCATTTCTTCACGAAACTCGAAAGACATTTTTCAGAACCCATTTCCGAGTAACGCGTCACGTTCGGCAAACAAGCTGCTGTGGGGGGGGGGGGGAGGGGGGTAGCGTCTCCGAACGGTCGCCGTGCAAATAAATATTTCACTGAACTTTGTATTTACGCGAGCAATACAAACAATACTCTCCCGGGTCCACACTATGGTCGCTAGGCGTTCCGTCATTTTTACGGACAGTCCTGCGGATACTATACCGTTACCACCATTACCATTACAGCCTATTAAAGTCCACTGCTGAACATAAGCCTCTTAGGGGAATATTTGCCATAGTTGGCACGCTTGGCAAAGGGGATTGGCAACCGCAATTTTTTAACTTTTAGTCGTAACTAGGAAGATGCTGCTGCCCTTGTCCTGATTTGTTTCCCTATGGGGCCTCTTACGACACCCACGTTATTATATTGGGTAGTGGAAAATTTCACACCGCTATTACACGGTACTTAACCCTATAGAAACTATAAAAATTAAAGATGAAACGGATAGCTGTTTGGCCGGATACCGGATACTGGATATTCAGCCAGTCTTATCGCCGGATAGCCAGATATCCGGCCGCCGGATATTCTGCTGAACATTGTCGTTTGATGCATCGCAAGAAGCGAAAAGTAAAGTCAATGCAAACTGTTCGCGATCGTGACCCTCATATCTGGTGGGCAGGTATTGCTACACAATATTCAACTTTATCAAAATTTGCCAAAATCTATCTTTCAGCACCCTGCAGTAGTGTGTACAGCGAAAGACTTTTTTCTGAAGCTGGCCTTGTTTATGAAGACAGACGAAACCGCTTGTTACCTTTCAATGCAGAGAAATTAGTATTTATTCACCATAATTTGCCCTTAGCTACGTAGTACTATTATTTATTATGTACCTTAGCGCAAAATGAAATCAACGTTAAGTCACCTTACTGTTTCTATCACCAACTTTAACAGAACAAATAAAATTTTGGATAAATTTTATTGTTATTCATAGGATGTTGTTTTATTTATATTTTCTTTGTCCTTAAGATATAAGGGGGTACCGTTACCTTATATACGAGTCCACACATTTTGTTGAATAATGGATTTTAGGACCATTAATTAAATTAAAATTGGTTTAAGTCCTTTCTCGCGAAGTCCGGCATTTTGATAGAAGTATGGTAACACTATTCCGCACTCTAATGGTTTTAGCTGCGCTCTATACGTGCGCCACCTCTGCATTTGAATGAACCCGAATCCTTTAGTTGATTCAAGGAAAATGCCCGTATTGGCAAGGTTGTTTACTTATACGTTATAAAATTATGAGCTGTATTTTTCTTACAAAAGCTAGGGTGACAAACGACCACACAGTCCATCTGATAGTACGTGAGTTCCACAGCTGATACAGATCTACATCTTTAAAGTATAATTAAGCAATCTGAAAAATGAAAAATGATTTATTGATTTACAATGATGCATTTTAAACCAGTCAGAAAACCCTGTACTAAGCTGCGAACCTGTATTACGTGATACCCCGCTTATCCACCAAGATAATAAATAGCGAAAGGCATGGGAAGATCTAGCAATAATGCTAGATCTTATTATATTATCTTTGCTACTCCATAAGGAGTAAAATTTACTCTACAATGCTAGATCTTCCAAATTACATTTAATGTAATTTGGAATATAATAATTACATTATACGCGTGCACCGGTTTGTGTGTGTGTGTGTGTGTGTGTGTGTGTGTGTGTGTGTGTGTGTGTGTGTGTGTGTGTGTGTGTTGTGATTATGTGACCAGTTCTTCAACAATTGGTGTGGCTGTTCCAACTCCAAGTATAAAAGTTATATAATAAATTGTTCAGTTTTCTCGTAGTTTAGAGTAAATAAAAATAGTGTTAAGACACGTTTAACTTTAGCTCACGTCGAAGGATAAATATTAAATCTATGTATGCTCTTAGTCTACATCTATTTGTTATTTTATTAGTTCTTTCTAAAACCATCGGTACCCCTAGCACAACTAATATTCCCGTTAACTACTTCAAATAAGCTAATGCTTGGTCTACACGTCGGTTAATGACGCACCACAACTTTGTCCACGGAAGCGATGAGAGTCATGCTGCAGCTATATAAGTAGTATGGTTGTAACACGATTAGGGCGGATCGACCCGGGAAGAACCACGCTCTCACAGAATACCAGCATAAAAGAGCAGCGGATCGCTGCTGTGTTTCGAATGGTGAGTGTAGAGACCCGGAGACCCTTTTTACTGGAAACGAGGCATTCCCTCTTAGTCCTCACTGGTGACTACGCATCTGCATTTAAATTTGTAATAGAGTATAGATTTAGATATCTGTGAGCCACAGTAACCAGTTTTCATCGGGTGTACTGTTTGTCATTTGCCCTTATCATATAAAAAATACTAAGCTACTGTCCTTGCTTCCCTCTGTCATTTTTTTTAAAACGTTACCCCTCACTAGGATTTTATTTTGTATTGTGGAGACATAAATTGGACAAGGACGAACATCCCGATTCGGAACAATTATTTGTAGGCCATACAAATAGTTGTTCCGTGCGGGATTCGAACCCGCGGCCTCAGTGCCGCAACTCGACTCGCAACACAACTCGACTAAAACACGGCAATCTATTATTTTAACACCTGATTTTTCTTCTACAGTATTAGAGAGCGGCGACGAGCCAGCGGCATGTACTAGCCGTAGGACTCTGGTGCTCGCGAACCATCAGAGCACGGCCGACGTGCCCATGCTGATGGCCGCTTGGAATCCACGCCCTGGCGTGCTGTCCAACCTCATGTGGATCATGGACCGCGTGTTTAAGTTCACCAACTTCGGGATAGTCAGCGTCTTGCACAAGGATTTCTTCATACAAGCGGTGAGTTTGTTTTCATACTAATACTTTGTTCAATATACTAAAACATATTATTACCTTATATTGATTAAATAGAACTGTACTTTCATGATTTTTTTTATTGAATAAGGGCGACAAACGAGTACACAGTCCACCTGATGGTAAGTTGTTGCTATGGCCCATAGACATCTACATCTATCCTCGATAACAAATCAAAATGCAGATGTGTTGTCACCCGTGAGGACTAAGATGGAGTGCCTCACGGTGTGTTTCCAGTAAAATTGGTCTCCGGTTCTTATACTCACCATACGAAACATAGAAGCGTTGAGCTGCTATTTTACGCTGGTATTCTGTGAGAGCGTGGTCCTTTCCCGTTCGAGCCGACCCGTTCTTGCTACTAGCCTACCCTACTAATATGGCTGCAGCATGGCTCTACCACGTAAAAAATCTTAAATTTTGGCATTTAAATAAATTAAAGATGTTAATCATCATTTCATTTATTTTTAAATCTGATCAATGCACTCGCTGATTTTTGACACTTATAATTGAGAGTAGAAGTAAGTACTTACTCTCTAAGGACGGATCCTTAGCCAAAAAAGGTGCTTTACCTCCTTGATAATGTCCTCTTGACTATTTTGCAAACACATGTATACATTAAATCAAACTTTTTAAAATAATTTTATCGCGCTTAACTTATTTTTAATTCCCGACGTTTAGGGTGCTTAACATCACCTATTTTTTTGGTCCAATCTACGCAAAACGAGCTTACAGTATCTTGAAGTCTTGCAGTGGTATGCTGGGGTTTGGATTTAATTTTGTTAATTATAGGATCCCAAGCAGATGGCTGCACCCATCTATCTTCTCTATTGAAATTAGGATGTTTTTTTTTAATTTCAATAGCCTCGCGTATCATGCTTGGTAGGAATCGGTGTCCTTTTGCGAGGATTTGTGGTCTATCACATCTGATGTAATGGTGGAGACGATCTTGAACATGTTCATAGACTGAAGACTTCTCGGAGCGTCGGTGCTTCATGTGTCAGCGTCGTGTTCGCGTAAATTTAAGAAATCATTAAGCACATGTATACTCTCATTTTCTCAAATCTAGTAGCCTGTTGGGACGGAAATATGACCAATCCGGAAGAAACAGCTTTAGGACTCAACGGTTTTACGAGCTTACTGAGGCACGGGAGTAAAACACCACACATTTTAAGACAAAAAGCCCAATACCTTATTTTGATCTGACCTAGGATTACAACCCGAGACCACATGATTGACATTCGTGCTTACTACCACTAGACCAAAGAGGTCTGAAGCTTACAACCACCTTCATATTAAATATGTTAAAAATTAATTAAATAAAACAATAAACTAAAATGGAGCGTCTCCTAGTGCGGGGGGGCTCTTTATACTCGATAAGACATTTTTAGTTTAATTTTATTTCCGTATAGTAACGCCTGGTTCTATTAATCACCTTGATATTGATGATTGATGGCATATATGATTAATATATATATATATATATATATATATATATATATATATATATTATAAATGTTACCGTTACCGTTACAGCCTATTTAAATCCACTGCTGAACATAAGTTTTCCATAGATTGCCTTATGGGGTATTTGTAATAGTTGCCACGCTTGAAAAGCGGGTTTGCAACCGCAGTATTTTAATTTAAGTCGTTATTAAAGAGACCTTATCACCTGATTTGTTTCCCTTTGTCGCCTCTTACGACAACTTTTTTTTTTAGGATAGGATGACAAACGAGCACACAATGCACCGGATGGTAAGTGGTTGCTGTGGCCCATAGACATCTACATCTATACTCGATTACGACTCATAATGCAGATGCGTTGTCACCCGTGAGGACTAAGATGGAATGTCTCGTTTCCAGTAAAAAGGTTCTGCGGCTCTCTACACCCACCATACGAAATACAGGAGCATTAAACTACTATTTTACGCTGGTATTCTGTGAGAGCGTGGCGCCTCCTCGGTCGAGCCGACCCATTCGTGCTGCAAGTACACTACTAATATAACTGCAGCATGGCTCTACCACGTATAAAATGATATGGGATAGTGAATATTTTTACATTGCCATGGTCTACACCGCCACTACACGAAGTAATGCCTGATTATGTTAATAACCGATACGATCTGGGGACCTTCGAGAAAAGAGTTTACTCCTTTCTACAGGGCCGGCAACGCACCTGCAGTTCCCCTGGTGTTGCGGTTGCTCATGGGCTGCGGTAGTCACATAACATCAAGTGAACCGTATGCTCGTTCGCCCCCTTCATAAAATTATTGATTTACGGATTCTATCGCGTTTATTTAACTGATTTTACTTATTTTTAATTCCCGACGTTTCGGGTGCTTTACAGCAACTAAGGTCACGGAGGGGGGGGGGAATGAGATGTTTGACGTCCCAATGTCATTGTTAGCCTGGCTACCTTCAGTTTTTGAATATTAATTTTTGGTCCGATTTACGCAAAACGAACTTACAGTATCTTGTAGTCTTGCAGTGGTATGCTTGGGTTTGGGTTTAATTTTGAATTATAGGATCCCAAGCAGATGGCAGCACCCAACCATCTTCTCTATTGAAATTAGGATGTTTTTTTAATTTCAATAGCCTCGCGTATCATCCTTGGTAGGAATCGGTGTTCTTTTGCGAGGATTTGTGGTTTATCAAATCTGATGTAATGGTGGGGACGATCTTGAACATGCTCACAGACTGCAGACTTCCCGGAGCGTCGGTGCTTCACGTCAGCTATATGTTCTTTCACGCGGTTATGGATCTTTGTTGACCTAGTAAGAGAGATTACTTGTACACTCCTGCATCTTGTAGAGGGATATTACACTTGACGGATGGTAAAAATTGACTAATCTACTTCGGCGGCTTGTAGTATGTTTTAATGGAAGCTCGCTAAAAAATAAAATATCCTTGATATTGATGATTTATTTATTTATTTAATGACATTTACAGAAAAAAAAAACATTACAGAACACTTCATAACTTCGCCAAACTGTACAGACAGTTTGTTGGCGAATAAATGCACTCTTATATCCTATTACATAATTAAATTAAATAAGTACTCAACCCACGTAATATTACAAACAACTAGTTTAAAACATGAACAGTATAAATTCCACACTCTATCAATTCCAAATACAACACCCCACCCACATAACATTGCAACAAAATAAAAATTGTCAATATAACCCGGATATATTTTTTAAGTATTTCAAACAAATAATAGTTTTCTAAATGGTCATACATCTAGCATTTTATCCAAAAAATATTTCCCAAGTTTCCTTTTAATTGTTAATTTGCAATTAGGTCTATCTTGCCTTAGCCAATCTATTTCATTAAGAAGCTTTGGTATTAAATATTTTGTACATCTTTTACCATAGTAGTTTTTAACACTAGGCTGAAATAATTTCCCTTCTCTAACTTTCCTGGTTTCCTATATTTATTATCCAATTTTTCGTTATAATGGTTTTTATTAATGTTTTCCAGAACTAATAGCATGTTAACTTTGTGTTCTACCGGTAAAATTTTACAAATAGAGAATAACTTAACATAATCTTTCTTACAATTTTCTTTAACTTTTTCATTTACAAGATGTTTTAGAAATCTTGTCTGTAGATTTTTAATGTCCTTTAAATAGGAAGAAAAAGTACGACCATACACACCAAGTCCATAGGTTGTGGGGCAATCCACCAAAGCATAATATAGAAGATACATAGTTTTTTTGTTCAAGATATATTTTAAATAATAAAATTTATATAATATAGCCGACAACCTTGCACATACATCAGATATTTGAGGTTTCCAATCAAAGTTTTTATCAATAATCAAGCCTAAATACTTAAATCTCAACAAATTCAATTTCTTAACATTTAAAATTAATTTTATTATTATGCAAGCACTCAAAACCGTGGCCTATAACAGCTATCTCATTCAATTTGGTCTTTTTTGCTGCAGCATTATATGGAGAGTGTATATGCATGCATTTAGTTTTATTAAAATTTAAAATTATGCCATTATCATGGGCCCATTTTGTTGTATTCTCAAAATCAATTTGTATATTATTTTGCAATGCTTTTGTTTCTTTAGAGGCAAATAGCAAGCACATGTCATCCGCATACATATACACTTGGCAGTTTTTTTATTACATTAGATGGACACTGTTTACATGTATAATATAACCCACAGGACCGTGGGTTGATTGAAACGATTGAGACAAATTCTGATAATGATAATGGATTTATATAAATGTTATAGTAAAAGTATTAATTGCTTTCACCTGCTGCAGCCGATAAGTCTCCCGGACCAATTTTATTGTCAATTGAAAATCCCATAAAACAATAGCGCCGCTGCGTATTAATTACCCGGTAGCCGGGCCTCGGTCCGGTTTATAATAGTTTCGATATTTGTGGCCGGATACTGGTAATACCGGTGCGTTAATGAATTATCCGGGCCAAAGACCCGTGTTTTGTGGTTCAGCGTTTTATGACGTGGAAGTTGTTTAACAGAACCAGTTAACTTTCCTATTAATAAATTGGGTTATTTTTTAAAAGTTAGTTTGGAGAGTGTAGTTCTGTGTATTTCTCGACTAACGAGTGCATTATAAATTATTAAAGCAAATAAAAATAATCTCTACACAGTATAAAACAAAGTCACTTCCCGCCGTCTTTACGCTTAGATCTTTCAAACTGCTCAACGGAATTTGATGCATTTTTCATCAATAGAGACAATAATTCAAGAAGAAGGTTTATTATATGTTTAATACTTGCATATGTTGTCGAGATCCAAATATCAAACGTGTGAAACCGGGGCGGATCGCTAGTCTATGTATTTCCATTTTTCCCTATACGTTGTCTATATAATATTACAAAAATAAAAAGTAATCACATTTACATGGTAGAGCCATGCTGCAGCTATATTCGCGGTATAGTTATAGTACGAATGGGTCGGCTCGACCGGGGAAGAACCACGCTCTTACACAATACCAGCGTAAAATAGCACCTCAATGCTGCTGTGCTTTGTATGGTGAATGTAAAGAACCGGAGACCCTTTTTCATTTTTCGTAGATGTATATGTCTATGGACCACAGCAACTATTAACCATCAGGTGGACTGTGTGCTCGATTGTCAACTTTATCCTATTAAAAAAATAACAGTTTCGAAATTCAAAAATTACGGAAGAAAATCGTCTTCCAAATGAGACGGTTGTTAAAGTTTATGAGGTTTTAAATATAAAGTACTAAAACATTTTACCGAACATTAATTTAGTCATTAGACTGTTTTTATGTTTAAGTGTTATCGTGTCCTCATTATTTTAAAACCTTTGTTTGTTTTACGATCTCTTGTTTATTGTAACGTGAGTTATTCTTCTTGGTCGTGTTCTTCATGACTGAAGATCGGGTCCGTGGTTTCGTGCCTTCATAGCACTGGTCACTATAGCCTTCCACTCTGTCCGGTCCTCGGTTTTTATCATTGCGCTCGTAAGTGGGAGGGCAGTGAGTGATTTGACTTGGTCCGACCAGCGTCTAGATGATCGATGCATGGAATTTCGCTTACGACTATATGTCTCCAAGTTAAGTTGAGTTATACACGATGTAATGTTACTTTTAATTTTTATTTTCTTATTATTTGTGTAAAACTGTGTAGTCAATGTCGTGTACGTCAGTTACTGGTTCTCATTTCAGGTTACATACATTTTGTAAAAAATATTCAATATTTTTAGTATAGTGTGAGCACTGTTGATGTACCTAGATAAATAATAAAAATAAGGTTATCAAGAAAACGATATCTTGGAAGACAGATTTTCAATTTCAGGATAAACTATACTTACTACCACAGTGAATTGAAGTTAATTGATATTGTTTTTTTTAAATATTGTGGAAAACCAACGGCTTACTAATCTTAACAACATAGTTAATTACAAGGAGACAACAATAGGTTCTCAGTAATAAATATACTGACAGTAACATAATCTTTCGTCGTTTTAAGCATCAATAATGGAGTCTACTCTAATTAGAATTAAAATATACAACATGCATAAATTCAATAAGTGACTCGGACAATACTGGCCAATAAGTTAAAAAAAAAACAGGGCACTGCATAATATTTTTTTTAAATTAAGACACAAAAAGATGTTATTGAGTACAAAAATACAATAAGAAACAACGTAGAGTATGTTATTACGAGTACAATAATTGTCACATTTTAATTTAAAATGAAATTATTTTAATAGCATAATTACAAACATGCGTCGGTTCACGTGTTCATGTATTGTTCGTGTAATGAAATTTATCGGGACATGCATCCAGCGCGCTTTAACAAGCTCGCCGTTGGACGCCTGTCCTCGACGCCGGTGATGGATAATGAATAATTCAATTATATCATCGATAGCCGTATTTCATGGAAGGAGCGCGATCGGACACGTAACATTAGGCCATATGCAAACGAGTAATTTTTATTTAGTTGAACATGCAGCCACGGTTTAAGATAACATGAGCCCATTACAACTTTAAATTTTTGGCCTTGCTTGCTGGACTTGCTGGGTATACCGTCAAGTAGCGGTGTAAGGATATCCACTACCCCATATCATCCCATGGGTGTCGTAAGAGGCGGCAGAGGGAAATAAATCAGGAGATGGGCAACAGCGTCTTTCTTATAACGATTAAAAATAAAAACACTGCGGTTGCCAACTCACTTGCCAAGCGTGGCAGCTATAGCAAATATCCTTCCTATAAGGAAATATATGGGGGAGGCTTGATTTCAGCAGTGGACTTTAAGGGGCTGTAACTCAGCTCAAATTCTATTTTCGCCCACACTTTTGTTTGTAATCACTAATACTATAAGAAGATAGGTCGTTAGATACTTATTTCATTAGGTTTATCATATTTATGCCTGTTTCTTTACGCCAACCCAGTCGCTTCTTATTTTTTATTACGGTTATTTCCCATTTTAATTTTACGTCGTCCTGTTGCGTAATGTGTATTCTGATCGTAAGTGATACAGCTTTCCCGTTCAAAAGCCGAAGCGAGACTAATCGGGTGGCAGGAAACAAGCTTCAAGACGCCGATAAATTAGGTAATTTCTTTTTACAGTGAAAATAATGGTAAGTAATTTAAAAAATATGCAATGTTTCATGATCTAATTTAAAGTATTTTATGAATACCAGTGGTTTATTGTTCAGTTTGGAGGTAACTTTGGATTTTTTTCTAACGAGAAAATTTTGCGAAATCGTGTTTTTGTCTAACATAGTACTTAACATTAATCCTCAACTTTACCATATATTTATTTCAAAATCATTACTGCAATATTTTAGGCATAACGGAGGATCTTGCTAAGCCATTTGAGGTAGTATTTTTAATATTTCCCTACAGGCTGTAATCACAACGGCCCAACCGTAATATAGCTGCAACGTGGCTCTACCACGTATATATGTCGTAAAATCACTTAGTCGTGTAGGGTGATCTTAACTATAGTAAAAACAGAATAGTAGAAAAAACAGAATAGTTTTATAACGGTTATAATATTTACAAACATAATACATACGGATACGTACCTATGCATCATATTAATAATCATTTCTTTTGGTTTCCTCTCAAAGAAACAATGTTTGTCAAATAAATTTCAGATTTACTTTACAACAAATACCAAATGACTAAAATACGAGTAAATTAACACTGAGCATGTGATGTCAGCTCAGATTTAATGTTGAAAATTAATTTAAACAGAAGTGATATGATAATTAATGTACTTATAAGGTATGTATCAAACCTATTAATAAAAAGCTAATTTACTTTAAAAAATCATATGTTTATTTATTTTACAAAAAGAGAAAATAAATCGAAAAAAGACTGCTAGCAAAAGCCAACTATTTTGATTTTACTTTGTCTTAAAATAGGCCTCCCCATAGAATGCCTCATAAGGGAATTTGCCATAGTTGCCTCGCTTGCTAGGCGGGGGTACACTTTTTTTTCTAATTGTTGTTAGGTAAACCCAGCTCCCCATCTCCTAGTCAGTTTCCCTCTGTCGCCTCTTACGATACACATTTGATATTTATTTGATAGAAATTATACAGTTAGACGACAATACATTCAAGTAAATTAATAGTTTGCAAATATTATCCATCAGAAGGATTAAAATTTAAACGAGCGTTATTTTCACCTGTTGTTACATCTTCTTTTTCTTAAATTAAATAAATTATAAGTATTTCCATCATAAAATTTTAAAATCAACAATTATTTCAAATAGATTCAAAGATGCGGTACAATGAAAATTAGAAATACGTTAATAATTATATTAAGAAAAATAATTATTACATTATATATTAGGGTTCCGTACCCAAAGGGTAACCAACGGGACCCCATTTACTAAGCCTCCGTTGTCCGTCCGTGCGTCCGTCTGTCTGCAAGTCGGCTGTATTTCATGATCCGATAATCATGAAATGATCATGAAATTTTTACAGAATATGTATTTCTGTTGCCGCTATAATTATAAATAATAAAAATAAATTAAAAATTAAAGGGGGGGGGGGCTACCCTGCTAGAAACGTGTTTTTACGATGGTACTTAACCCTTCATGCGCTAGACGAACTCGCACGTGGCCGATTTTTTTAACATCATAGGAGTACTGGCATTTTTCAAAAAGCAATTTATTTTCTCTTAAACACAACACATTGCTTAAACACATTGGACGCTTATTACATATTTTTACAGTTGTGTCAGATATACGGACCGAAATTGGACCCTTAAAACAAATGTATGTATACACCCAAACCCGACAGTCATCAAATTTGTCGCAACCCACTCATCGCGATTCAGCAGCCACCACTTTTGACCATTCAACCATACGGGTACCATTTGTGTTGTGTTTGTTGTAATATATTTTTCTGAACTGGATGTTTGTCTATGCGCAATTGATAATATTAAACGCATCCATGTTAAAGGAGAAAATTCTACATAATGTGGGCATAACGTTTTCAACTTCCCACTAAGAAAATTGAAAATTTTCGAAAATCGGAAAGTTATTGTTTTTACTCCGTTTTTCGAAAATTGAGTTTTTATCAAATCTTTATGACCAGCAGATTTTGAAATCTCAAAAACAAACATTTTGAAAAATTGTTTTTTGGAATAACTTTTAAACGGCTTTACCGATCGATTCCAAAAACTAATCAGCTTTTAACCTTGAAAAACCAAGTCAATCGCCGCCGGTCTGGTTAAAATCGGTTGATTGGTGAGGTATCGTTAACGAAAAGTTTTTTTATTTCATATCTAACGTCATAATTTGGTGCAATTTGGAGCGCTTTGCTTTTGAAATTAGCGAGAAGTTCCAGGGGTGGCCTGCAGGGTTAACCAATTTTAGTTACTAAAAAAGATGTTCCAATAATCAGCAAGACTGATAGTGTATCAGGGACCTTAAATGCGCATTGACGGGTTGACAGGTTGTTCGCGGCACTTCGACCAGTCTCCATTACGATTTTATGCACGTAGCGCGCTGCAAATGATAGCCACTATCGCTTTCCAGTTGTCATTCAAATCTAGGTTTTAATTATGCCCAAGTGCAGTTTCATTAAAAAATAGAATGAATTCTTTTCGTCGTAAAACGGAATGTCTGAGCAATTTATTGTAAGAAGTAGTATTTAATTTATTTTAAAGAAACGATACCTCCACCGTAGGTAGGATTTTAGAGTGAATCGTGGAGCCGGTTTACATACATAAATTGCACAAGAATAAACATTCAGACCCGAAACAATTATTTGAATTATAATTATATATTGTAAATCAAACACATGTTCCATATGGGATTCGAACTCGCGGCCCTCAAGCGCCGTAACCAAACGCTTGGCAACTGCGATACTTAGTGAGTATAGATTAGAATGGAATAATTTAATATCGATTATAAGAATACTCATTGACATTCATTTATGATTTTACCACTGTTTCGAAAAAACCTCTGTTCTTGGAAGAACCAGCCAGTAATGAAGCAGGATTTTTTTAAGTATTAATTAATAATGTGTTGTATTTTTTTTATAGGATAGGGTGACAAACGAGCACACAGTCCACCTGATGGTAAGTGGTTGCTGTGGCCCATAGACATCTACATTTATCCTCGATTAGTTCGAGTAAGATGGAATGCCTCGTTTCCAGTAAAAAGGATCTCCGGTTCTCTACACTCACCATACGAAACACAGCAGCATTAAGCTACTATTTGAAGCTGGTATTCTATGAGAGCGTGGTCCTTCCCCGGTCGAGCCGACCCATTCGTGCTACAACTATACTACTAATATAACTGCAGCATGGCTCTAACACGTAAAAATATCAAATAAGAAATATCAAAACATACAGAAACAGCACGATAGCGACCACCTCGTTTTCAGAGCTTATTAGCCATGTACTCTTTAGTAGTATCATCATTCATCATTACAGCCATTCACAAGTCCACTGCTGAACATAGGCCTCCCATAAAAATGTCACAAAACACGATCCTGAGCCCCTTTCTTCTATCTGCATCCTGCTTCTCTTACCAAGTTGTTACACTTTCTATTTGGGGGTTACACTTCGCATAGTTAGTAGTCTAATATCCCTTATTTTACAAATTTTAAATGTTAAAAACTTTTTACACATTAATAGTAGATGCAGTAATTGTAGCATGAATGGTTCACTCTTACAGAATGCCAGAGTAATATAGCAGCTTAAAGCTGCTGTGTTTCGGATGGTGAGGGTAGAGAACCGGGGACCCCTCTTACTGGAAAGGAGGCATTCCATCTTAGTCCTCACGGGTGACATCACATCTGCATTTCGATTCGTAATCGAGGATAGATGTAGATGTCTATGGGCTACAGCAACCATTTACCATCAGGTGGACTGTGTGCTTGTTTGTCACCTATCCTGTAAAAAAAGCTTATTAAGTTGATATTATGACTTCTTTGAATGATATATTAATATAATAATGTAAACACCACGCTCAACCGGCGGATTAACAATTCCAGACATCTGGCACCTTTAACACTACCCCTGTCGCCGGTCTAGAAATTAAACGCCCTGCTTAAACTAGATGTTGTATAGCTATATATCTGAAGCCATCAGATCTTTATGGCTTATGCCGTAGTCATGTCTTACAAAATGTAACGACGATTCGCTCATGCCGCCCATACGTCTCGCTGGTGTCGTAAAATGCATCTATGAGAAACATCCTGGAGATCTTGCGGCCTTCTATAAATGGATGAACTATCTTGTATATGGTATCTTGTATACTAGTAATGATATAGTAATAAATATTCGATAAGTTAGGTTATGTTCTATTTCTCTTCTTTGTTTTATGTTACTTATAGAAATCACTTATATAATGTTTATTTTGTAAAGTAGAGCGAATTGTGCG